CACCTTTTGTTTATAAGTATCTTGTATGTTTAGGTAAGTATCACACTGAAATTGTACAAAAATGAATAAGTAATAGGTATAAAAATAATATACTTATAAATATCGAGTTAAGTAATAAATATAGAGACTTAGAACTATTTACTTAACTTGTTTAATTGATTTATTTAATTAACATATTACCTATACTTATATAATAATTAAAATTTTACATGTATTTATTATATTTAATATATACGCAATAAAAATAACTTTTGAAAATAAAATAGTAAAATACAAAAAAATAAAAATAAAAATTAAGTAAGACTTATAAACCAAATACATAACACATGTACTAATAATATTTCTTATTAAACATTTTCTTTCTCTAAACCAAGTATATAAGTATATACTTATAATTTACCTAGTACTTATTGGGTTAAATATCAAGTATAGGTGTTTGAGTATTTGAATAGTATCAAGTCTAAAAATATATACCCAAAAATTTTTAAATTAAGAATCAAATATAATTTATCTTTGAATTGTATCAAAAAAATATTCACCCTAAATAAATATGATGTGTAAACCTTATAGATAATTACATCTATACTCTATTTAAAATTAAAGTTTGCAAATTAGTTTTAATTTATTAAATATAAATATTAATTATTTTATTAATTCTAACTATTTTAAAAAATAAAATTAATATTTTTTTAACGTAATTTAGGTGGTCTTAACTAATGGAATGATGGACTTAACCACACCTTTAAATAATCCCTTCAGCTACCCCTCATTGGTGGGCCCAACAAAATGTAAGCCCACCAACCCAAACGGAGAAAGAAACCACCTTCTAACTTCTCCGTTTTAAGTCCTGAACGGTGACTTCCTATTTTACCTTCCAGAAACGTTTTGCTCAACCTTCAGGGACCGTCCGGGACGACGATGCCGCCCGAAACGCAGCCGCAAACGCCACCTAACTTCTGGGGAGACATGCCGGAGGAAGAGTATTACACGTCGCAAGGAGTACGCAACACCCAGTCCTACTTCGACACACCCAACGGCAAAATCTTCACCCAGAGTTTCCTGCCGTTGGACCAAAAAGTTAAAGCCACCGTATTCATGACCCACGGCTACGGCTCTGATACCGGCTGGATGTTCCAGAAGATCTGTATTCGTTATGCTACTTGGGGTTATGCTGTTTTTGCTGCTGATCTTCTCGGACATGGCAGATCGGACGGGCTCCGGTGCTACTTAGGTACCCAAAACCGAAATTCGTCTCCCATGTTGAAATATAGGGCTGTCAAATTCATTTATTAATACAATAATTCGATTTCTAAGGTGACATGGAGAAAATTGCGGCGACGTCCTCGTTGTTCTTCAAGCACGTGCGCTATAGCGAAGAGTATAGTGATTTGCCGGCGTTTCTCTTCGGCGAGTCCTTGGGCGGAATGACGACGATGCTGATTTACTTCCAATCGGAACCAGGGACGTGGACGGGCCTGATTTACTCGGCCCCACTCTTCGTCATGCTGGAGAACATGAAGCCCAGCAAGGTACATCTCTTCATGTACAGTATTCTCTTCGGATTGGCCGACACGTGGGCGACGATGCCGGACAACAAGATGTTGGGGAAAGCAATCAAGGATCCGGAGAAACTGAAGATAATCGCGTCGAACCCGCGGAGGTACACGGGGCGGCCGAGGGTGGGGACGAAGAGGGAGCTGTACAGGGTGTGTCAGTACATACAGGATAATTTCTCGAGAGTTGCGGCGCCGTTCCTGACAGTACACGGGACTGCGGACGGGGTGACGTGCCCGACATCATCCCAGCTGTTGTACGAGAAGGCATCGAGTCAGGACAAGAGCTTGAAGCTGTACGAAGGGATGTACCATTCTCTGATTCAAGGGGAGCCTGAAGAGAATGCTGAGACTGTTTTGAGGGATATGAGGGAGTGGATTGATGAAAGAGTTGAAAGGTATGCAAAAAAATGAAAAAAAAAAAAAAAGAGTACAAATATTGGGATGAAATAAAAAGAGAAATTTGAATAAGCTGTAATACAAAGATAAAAAATAATGGGTTAATAACAATAAATAATTTAAATAGGTTAGTGATTTTTTTTTTTTAAAGTAAAAAATTTTAAATTTCAGTCACAAACATGTGAAAGAATAAAATAAATAATAAGAGATGATTATCTCTTAAAAAAAATGTGTTAATAACTATGACTAATACCATATCCTCTCAACAGTTATATAACATTGAACCAGTGAGGAGAGGGATAGTAAAGGTATGATCTATGATGAGTGTGCTCGTAACTAACTAAAATTAATTTTGAGGGGTACGTGTTTGTTGCCACAGTTATCAATTATTAAGTTTAATACAATGATTAATATTTTAAATTATATATAATAATTACTAATTATTAGATATTATTTATTAATTATCAATTTAAAAAAATTAAAATATTAATTTGGTCTCTCAAATTTTTAGATTTATACTAAAATTATTCATTAACTTTAAAAAAGATCAAAATTGTCGCTTAAACTTCAAAAATATCAAAATTATCGATTAAATTTAATTTTTAATATCCAAAAAGTCCTTCCATTAACAAAAGTATTGTGTAACTCTTTATTTTATAACCAAATCAATTATTTTTTAAATGCTAATTACGTGTAAAATCAAATAATTATATTTTGTTATCATGATGTATTTTAATTTATACATCAAATTGATATATAATCAAAGTTAAAAAACTAAATTATTATTTATAATCAAAGTTCAAGAATTAAATTGGTGCTTGTCTTCAAAGCTTAAGGAATAAGTTGGCATTATTTTCAAAGTTTGAGGGCTATTTTGGTACTAGAAATTAAAGTTTAGAAACAATTTTGATATTTTTTAAAATTGAGAGACAATTTTAATGCAAATCTTAATGTTGAGGAACTAAATTAGTATTTTAACTTTAAAAAAACTAAACTAAACAACCTTGAGCTTTTATATTTAAAGTTACAAATTCAAATTATATACACGTAAGAAGGAGCTTGAAAAGTGTAAAACTATACATTCCTATTATATAATTTATTATTCAAGTTATAAAAAAAGGGGAAGGTTGAGAATTCCATTTAAACAATACAATGTTAAGCAAGGTAAAATGAAACACCATACTAAGAGCTCATATATTTCCAATTAATTACAATAGGGTTAAAGCCCTTTGTCATCCTTGTACTTTGAAATTTTGTTCATTCCCATCTCTCTACTAAGGATTTGTTCATTGTCCTCCCTCTACTCCTCTTTTTGTTCACTATCATCCTTTTTCTAACGCCATTCGTATTGCCATCATTGTTGACCGTTAATTCCTAAATGATCAACTGTTAAACCATTCGTTACACCTTTTTTTTTTTTTTTTCCATATGTACTACCACATGAGAATACAATATCATATTAAATTTTGAATAAAAAAATCAACTATATAACATGCAATAAATATAAGCTTATAATGTCATCATTTTTCGTATACCATAGAAATATTATATGTAGATCAATGATGTTTTATAAAGAAAAGAAATCACTATTTTTGGTGAATTTTTTAAAAAGAGAAAATACCAAGGGATATTGATTCTAAAATGACAATGAAATATTAATAAAATATAAAATAAAATAAATCATTTTATTTTCTTTTAATTTTTGGTACATAAATCCTTTTCTTTTCTAGTAAAATAAGTCCTACATTCTTAGTTTCCCACAAACTTGCTCAGATATCTTATTGAAGCAGGCACCTACCTCAAACCAACTAAATTCGACCCCCTTCTTCCCAAGATGTTATGTAGAAACAGAATCTTAGTTTCTGCCTAATTCTCGACTCAAGAAAATTCCCATTTCTTGCATCCTACCAGTTTCTCAAGAAAATTCAAGACCGGTTGACTGCCCATTCTTTAATATCCACAAGTGACATTGACTGCTTAGAGCCTCAATTTATTCTTAAGAAAAATGGGTTAATTTAACAAATTATCCATTAACTTTTATATTCTTTTCAATTTCATCTATTAATCTTGAATTTTTTCAATTCTATTTATTATCTTTCACATTTATTTCAGTTTCATCTAATTCATTATCTTTAACGAAAATGTCCATTATCTTTAATGAATCTTCTTATTCTATAAGAAAATATTTAGTTCTCTAACTATATTTCTTTTGATTTTTTAGTCTTTAAATTTATATTCACCGTAAAAATAATTTTTATTATTATCTTACCAAATGTGTTATTTAGAAAACTGTTTTACAAAGTGGACTGTATGCAGTCCGTCCTGTAAAATTATTTAAATACCCTTAATTTTATTTTTATATTATTTTTAAAAACATTTAAATAATTTTATAGGATAGCTTGTATACAATTTGCCATCCTCTGTAAAACAGATTTATTTTTAAAATTTTTCATTCTAAACTTATTAAATTTCTCTATTTGAATTGAGTTAATTGCTTAAATTTATTATAAATTCTAATTAATCTATCTCTATAAAATATTTTTTAAGTCATCATATTTTATTAAGATTATAATGGTACTTTTTCAAAACTTAAAGGACTATTCTTTCCATTAAATTTAACAAAATTCTGGTAAACTATTTTGAAATATTTTCCAAAGTTTATAGATCATTTAGAAACAAAATAAACTTTTTAGACTAAAATAAAATTAAGTTGATAGTTAATAGACTAAAAATTGAATTAAGCCTAAGAAACATGATACACTCAAACTTTTTAATTACTTTCTTTTCTTTTTTTTCGCTAGAAATAGATATGTACATCTTTGCAATATAACATTAAACTAGACACAACAACTGAAAAATACCGTAGAATTTGAATAATTTAAAAAAAGAAAAAAGAAAAATATATTAGAAACACGGGTCGACCCATATAGAGTGTGGTTATTTTTTATGAAAATTTGATTGACCCATGTCTCATATAGAGTGTGGTTATTTTTATCATAAAAAATGTTAAATCACCAAATTTTCTGTTTTTTTCTTAAATACTATCTGAAAATATCAGTTTGTTAACTATTTTAATTTGTTAATTAATAAATATTAAGTGTTTTGAGTTACATTTATTAGCTATTTTTGGAGGTGCTGTTGAAGGATATGAGTTTTTGGATTGTTGGTAATTGAGTATGGGATTGTAGGTGGAGACGAGGATGCATTGAGAGAGCCGGTGGTGATGAAGAACAATTTAGGGAGATGATTAATGCTATTAAGGTAAGGACTAATAAAGTTGATTCTTGAAGATGAGTTCATAATAGTGCTGGTTTGTATTATGTGAAAGTTGCTTATGATTTTTTAACGCCTAAAGATTATCTTCTTGATAAGAAATGATATAGAATTATTTGGTGTAAGTTTGCTCCTTTTAAATTGAGTGTTTTTTAGTGGACATTATTTTTGGATAGGTTGGCAACAAATGATAATTTAGGCAAGAGAGGGATTGTTCTACGAGGGGGGGACGTTGGTTGTGGGTCATGTAGTGAGGGAGTGGAATAGCTGCATCGTATCTTTTGTGAGTGTAAAGGGGCATGGTTTGTGTGGATGAAAGTGTTGGGATGGTGGGGCTTGCAGAGTGCTTTTTCAAATGATATTTTTGGTTTGGTAGAGTTTGTACTTTGTGGTGCATGGTATAAGTAGGGGATGTCTGGTGGATTTAGGAGCCTTCATTTATTTTTTTTGTCGCTTGGTTTATTTGGAATATGAAGGTGTTTGGGACAAAGTTGATGTCTAAAGTGTTATTATTGGAGTTTGTACAAAATAAATCTTTTTTATAGCTTAAAAATAAATCTTTTTTAT